TATTTCGCCCGGCCAGGCCGACGTCACTATTTCGCCAGGCCAGGCCGTCGTCACTAGGGGTGGGCTCGGTTCGGTTTTTGTCTTTTTTCTTAAGAACCGGTCGTGTTGTTTTAGTTGCCATTTCAGTTCGGTTATGTAACATTTTTTGTCCGGGACCGTTTCGGAACCGAAAAACCGGTTTCGGTTCGGTTTATCCGGTTTCTGTGGGTAACCGATTTGTTATTAAAAACCGACTTTTGCAAAAGAACCGAGCTTTAAAAACAACTAATTAACTTAACAAAAACAATAAACACATTACATTACAGAATACAGAGTACATAACAGTAATCACAAATCAATTGTCCAAGTCTTCAAGATTTCAAGTTCCCACAACAGCCACAAGTAGCACACAAATGACAGCACTAAAAACATTACCAAATCCAAATTATCCAAATTTCAACAACCTAAATCAAACCACTCAAGCATGGGAATAAATTGTTCAAAGCTCAAACATCAAATTCAAAGTAAAAAGATCAAACACCAGTGACACTCACACCACACTATTTTTTAGAGTGTTCTTAGATGATTTTCCAACATCAAATCCTTTGTTAGCCTTTGAAGTTTTGCTTTCCTTGTCTTTTTTTTCTTCTAGTTTATCCTTCAGCTCCCTTTCTTCTTGGTCCAGCTCTGTTTGAAGTGGAAAACAAAAGAAAGATCAAGAAATTAAAAATATAGTATGAACAAGTTCAGATTATTTAATCATAATCACATCATATTATTAAACTTCACCTTGCTCTGTTTTCTCCAACCATTCTATTTCCTCGGGAGTGGGGGTGTATGCAAGACTGCTAATAGAATCTGACTTCAACCATTGTTGTAGGCAAATCAATGCTTCAACTGACCTAGGAGTTAATGAACTCCTATGAGGATCAATCACCCTTTTTCCAGTGCTAAAAGAAGCCTCAGATGCCACAGTACTGACTTGGATTGCCAAAACATCCTTGGCAAGAGCTTGCAAGTTAGGATACTTCACTCCATTTAACTTCCACCAATTCAGAATATCCCAATCACCCTTAGGTTTCTCTATAGGATCAAGCAAGTATCTATCCACTTCATAAGCAATTACAATTGCATTTCCATCTTCAAGATCCTTCTGCCAATCTTCCATCATCATTGCCCTTCTCCCTGTCACCTTCATGGATGGACACCTAGTCAAGTGAAAGCAAAACAAAAAAGACATTATATTAACATATGCACAAAAAGTAAATATGTCAAAAAAAATTAGAACAAAGGATAGTTAAAAAACAAAATTACCTGATGCTACCTTCTTTCTGTCCAGCTTCAGAATCTCCCAAGACTCTCTTTGTGTTACTACTTTGACCACCATTCATTGATGCATATAAATCAGTGAGTGTGACAATCAAATCTTTAAGTTCTTCTGTTTTTCTCTTCACATAATCACTGTCATGTTGCAACATATTTTGAAGAACCCTTGAGAAATACCTAAGTTTATATCTAGGGTCCAACACCAAAGCTACAAGAAGAAGTTTGTTCACATCATCTATAGTATCAAAGTACTTCCTGTACTTCCTTCTCATTTGCACAGACATATTAAACAAAGTCCTCTCATAATCAGTGCTCTGGTTTGTCAATGGTGCATCAAACAGATCATCAATTTCACACTTGATTGTCACAATCTCACTGAATGCTTTATGTGCAGTTGGTGTGTTAGTGCAACTAACATTAAGAGTGACATCAAAAAATACTTTCAAGAACTTAATAAAAGCCTCAGCCCTGTACCAATCTTCCTCATTTGGAGGCCCAACTCTCTTTTTCCCTTTGTTTTTTCTTTCCCTTTTCTCCCCCTCAGCCCCCTCAGCCCCCTCTGCCTCAACACCAATTACCAATTCAGACACATCATCATCATCTTCTTCATATTCATCTTCATCAAAGTAGCCTTTATACTTACTTTCCTCATCCTCTGCTAGCCTATCAAATGCCAACTTCAACTCATATGCTGTCTCCAACATTATGAAGGTTGAATTCCACCTTGTTGGCACATCTAAAACACAAATCTTTTTGCTATCCAACTCCTCCTTTCTTACACATGCTCTAAATTCTTCAAGTCTAGCAGGTGAACTTCTAACATACTTTACTGCATTCCTAATAGAAGCCACTGACTTCTCCATGCAATTCAATCCAGATTTAACAATGAGATTCACCACATGAGCCAAACATCTTACATGTAAATATTTTCCCCCCAAAACAAGTTGTTTATCACCATTGTTAAGCTTTCTTTTCATATAATCTAGTGCAACCTTATTGGCAGATGCATTATCAACTGAAATGGTCAAAACTTTCCTAATTGACCACTCTTGGAAGCAATTTTCCAGAAGCTTTCCTATTGTTATCCCTTGATGATTTGGAATGACAGAGAAATTAAGAATTCTCTTATGCAAAGTCCAATTAGCATCAATGAAATGGGCTGTTAGCACCATGTAATTGATGTTTTGGATTGAAGTCCATGTGTCAGTTGTCAAACTAACACAATGATTCTTAAGTTCATTTTTTAAAGCTTCTTTCTTAGTATTGTACATACTTAAGAAAGACTTTACCACAACTTTCCTAGAAGGAATTTTCCACTTAGGAACAGCAACAGCACAAAATATCCTAAAACCATTCTTTTCAATTGCAGAAAATGGCATTTCATCAATCACAATCATTTCAACAGCAGCATTAGTGCAATTTTCTTGTGTCCAATGTGTAACAACAACATCTTTACCCTCTAAATCCACAACAAAATGCTTCTGACCCTCTCTTAAGTTTCTAGCACTACCAGGATAACTATAACAATGCAATTCAAGGTGTTTTTGCAGAGTACTAGTCCCATTCTTAGTCGAATTGCAAGCTAGATCAGATTCGCAATACTTACATTCATCTCGAGTAGTCTTTCCAACTTCTACCTTCACACCCTCTTCATTTGCAATCATCAATGGCTTATGGACGGTTTTGAAGTGGTCCCACACCCACGACCTCTTCTTATTTCGTTCTGAAGCCTCCCGTAATCTTCTTTTCTTCTATGGTTGTGGGTTCTTCGAATTAGGGTTTTGTTTCTTCCTTTTTGAGGTACGAGCATCTTTGGACAAGTTTGAGCTTTGACTGTTGCTACTCTTTTCAGATTCTGAAGCCATGAGAATTGAGCAATTGAGGGCTTAGGGTTCAAATTTTTCTGGCCGATGTCACTATTTCGCCCGCCCAGGCCGACGTCACTATTTCGCCCGCCCAGGCCGACGTCACTATTTTGCCCGGCCAGGCAGACGTCACTATTTCGCCAGGCCAGGCCATCGTCACTATTTCG